ATATATTAGCCATCTTGATGATTAAACATCCACCCCCTCGCTAGTTGGCACAAGAAATATTAGTCGGTTTAACCAATTAGTGTTTTATTCATGTACAAGGCCACTAAACTGTCATGCAGAGCCCACCACTAGTGGGTGCTACAGAGCTGTCAGACAGCAGTCTCCCTCCCCACTATAATGCTCGAGTAGACTGGAGTTTTAAAACAACACAGTGGGAAACTGGAGAGACGTCCTCTCACAAAAAACCAGCACGGTTTGGCAGTACTTTGATCTCGAAAATGAATTCACCAGCAATTTATCTTTTTTGAGATGTTATATTATTTGTTAACTTTAAGTGAGTTTTTCTCAGATAATGTACAGTGTTTACATTCATACTGCACTGCGCAAAATGCCTCTAATTTCAGCTGAAAGTTAATTATAAATTAGATTACATTTAGATTAATTCATGTTTGTTGGATAATCTGCAAGGTTCAATGTGCCCCACATTTCAGGGGCAATTTATTTATTTTAGATGTTATTTTAGTGGTTAACTTTTGACTGAGTTGCCGACATGTTCACATTCATACCGCACGGCGTGTATGAACAACTTCAGGACTGTTTCCAACGGACTGACTGGGATCTATTCCACCATTCTGACCTGGAGGTATGTACACAGCAGGTTCTTTTTTACATCAACTGCTGTGTGGACAGTGTCACAGTGCAGAAACGGGTCTGGACCTTTCCAAATCAGAAAGCATGGATTACAAAGGAGGTCTTCACGCTCATACGAGCTCGTGATAGGGCCCTCAAGTCAGGAGACCAGGCCCTCTACAGCTCTGCAAGGGCAAATCTGAAATGAGGTATCAGAGAGGCAAAACGGTCGCACTCAAAGAAGATCGAGGAGCGTCTCAGTGATAACAACGCAAGACAGGCATGGCAGGGACTAAAACAAATCTCCAACTATGAGGGCAACACCGCCACCATCTCCGACAGCAGTGCCTCCTTGGCAGGTGAGCTGAACTGCTTTTTCTCAAGCTTTGAGGCAACTTTTCCACCCTCACACACAAACATCCCTGCTACAGACTCTAGTGTTCTGATAGTTCAGGAACATGAGGTGAGGAGAGTGTTCAGAGCTGTCAACCCAAGGAAGGCCACAGGTCCAGACGGTGTACCTGGGAAGGTCCTGAAAGCCTGCAGCTACGAACTAGCACAGGTTTTCACAAATATCTTCAACCTGTCCCTTGCCAGAGCCACAGTCCCCTCCTGCCTTAAAACAGCTACAATCATTCCGGTACCCAAAAAACACAACATAAATAACTTAAATGACTATAGACCCATCGCCCTCACGCCCATTGTCACCAAATTCCTAGAGAGACTGATATCACAGCATATAAAAGCCAACCTCCCTCCATCATTCGACAACCACCAGTTTGCATACAGTCAGAACAGATCCACTGAGGATGCCATAAGCATTGCCCTTCACACAGCCCTGCAGCACCTGGAACAGAGACACACATATGTTCGGATGCTGTTTATCGACTACAGCTCAGCATTTAATACCATTATCCTGGACATTCTCATTAGAAAACTTTCCATCTCGGCTTCTCCTCACATCTCTGCTCCTGGATCCTGGACTTCCTCACACACCACCCCCAGTCTGTTAAACTTGGCTCTCATCTCTCCTCCTCACTAACTCTCAGCACAGGCTCCCCTCAAGGCTGCGTGCTAAGCCCTCTGCTGTAGTCCCTCTATACATTTGACTGTACACCCACTTCCACATCAAACACTATAATTAAGTGCGCAGATGACACAATCATCATTGGCCTCATCTCAGGGGGGGATGAGCCTGCATATCGAATTGAAGTTCAAAGTCTGACCATGTGGTGCTCTGCAAACAACCTCGACTTAAACATAAACAAAACAAAAGAACTGATTATAGACTTCAGAAAGACTAGGGACAACCACCTGCCCCTCCTCATAAAAGGCGACTGTGTGGAAATCGTCCAAAGCCATAAATTCCTCGGCATACACATCACAAACACACTTTCCTGGACAGAACACACAACTGCTACTATTAAGAAGGCATCTCAACGCCTTCACTTTCTCCGTGTCCTGAGGAAAAATCACCTCAGCAGAACAGTAATGGTGGCCTTCTACTATGCAGTCATCGAGAGCACTTTGACCTACGGACTCACAGTGTGGTATGCAGGCTGCACGGCAGCAGAGAAAAAGGCTCTATAAAAGATTGTGAAAACAGCACAAAAGATCATCGCCTGCCCTCTTCCCTCCCTGGAAGGAGTTGCAGATGCTCGATACCTCTCCGGAGCCAAAAACATTTTAGAAGACTCCTCACATCCCAGTCATAAAATATTTGACCTCATGCCCTCAGGCAAGCATTACAGAGCCATAAAAACAAACACAAACAGACTCCTGAACAGTTTCTTCCCCTGAGCCATCCAGTCATTAAACAAATCACAATCACACTGACAACCATGGGACAATATGCAATAGGGACTGTGCAATAATGTTTTTATCCTACTGGTTTTATTATATTGCTTTAATAATGCACTTGACACTTAATGCTTCTGTTTATTCTTTTTTTTTTCTTTTTCTTCGTGCATTATGTGTATGTGTTTGTGTGTATGTTGCTATGCCACTGTGATGAGCCCTCTGTAGTTTCGCTGTAGTACTTATACAATGACAATAAAAACATATTCTTTCTATTCTATGGTCTGTTCCATATAGATCTTACCGGTGGTAAGGTTGGTTGTGTTGCTTTTTATGTGGATGTTTTTCGTTGATAACAGAGCTGTAACGTTAGACTTGAGACTTACACTTGATAGTGAAAAAAAAAAAGGTTAGGATTTAGTGGATGTCTGCGTTACGTGTAAGACTACAGGGCCAACTTGTAACGTTAACGTAGTAACACTATACAATGAACTAGCAAGTCATTTTAAGTTCCAGCCGCTAGCTAACGTTACTTAAGTTATTTATTAGCGACTGGCAGAAGCACTGGTGTAGTGATGTAACGTTAGCTAAATTAGCTTTTAAAAGGCTTCTCCACAAGTGTCTCGTGTGTTTCGTTTCACCGGTAACATGGACGATATCGAAACTTAGCTAAGTTTAGTTAGCTGACCGGGTTCGAGGCACATCAGGATGAGAAAACAGTCTCCAGCTTTAAGTTCAGCCTGGTCATAAAACTAATTAATGCAGGTACTATAAGTTACCTTACAGCTTCGACGTTTCATTCAGAAGCATCCAGTCAGGTAAGTGGGGTGTCTTCACGGAACATTGAGCTGTATCACCCCATTGAACAGTTCCGCGGGTTTTGTGTTTTCCTGCGGACAGCCAGCCGAAAGTACATCCGGTCCGACTCCTTCAAAATTAAGTGAGACATGATGGGAAAAAAAACAGGGCTTGAACTTTTGCTCACAAAGCAATTACACAAGTTATATTGTCTGTACTATTTGAATTGAAATATCGGTTTAATACAAATTTATTTAAAACACAAGAAACGAAAAAGTGGCAGTTTAAACTTTCATGCACGCTAAAGTTTATATTAGACTCGCTGTATATTGTTACTGCAGGTAAACATCTGTGTAACAGTCTTTACTGTTAATACTTTAGCATCACGCTAAACATTACGTCCTGATTTAAAAGGTCTATGTTTTGACTTCCAAAATAAAAGCAGAGTCGACCATACACCCAGGGTTCATCTGTGGAGCTAAATCCTGCCAAAACTACACAAACAAATAAAACATAAGGCCATCCACCTTACTATTCAGGTCCTTTTTTTCAGGTCCTTGCTCTAGCTTGTATATATATATATATATATATATAGGCTATATATATATATATATATATATATATATATATATGTATATAGACTGTGCTTTTATTTTGGAAGTCAAAACATAGGTCTTTTAAATATATATATATATATGTGTGTGTGTGTGTGTGTGTGTGTGTGTGTATGTATGTATGTATGTATGTATGTATATACATATATATATATATATATGTACATTTTATTTGAAGGCACCTTTCTTGGCACTCAAGGACACTGTACAGATACACAAAATGACATTACAGTAAAAGGAAACAAACAAACAAAAAACACAATAGAAAGCGACAGAGCAATTGGCATCAGGTGGAATAGGCAGTTTTAAATAAATGTGTTTTGAGTTGTGATTTGAAATGGGGGAATGAATCGATGTTTCTGAGTTGGGGTGGTAATGAATTCCAGAGACGGGGAGCAGAGTGGCTGAATGCTCTGCTCCCCGTGGTGGTGAGATGGGCAGAGGGGACAGACAGGTGTGTGGAGGAAGAGGATCAGAGGGAGCGGGAGGAAGTGGGAACATGGAGGAGGTCGGACAGATATGGGGGGGCGAGGTTGTGGATGGCCTTGAATGTTAACAGGAGGACTTTAAATTGAATACGGAACTGAACCTAGATAGATAGGTAGATAGATAGATAGATAGATAGATAGATAGATTCTAATCGGTATAATGAACAAATACAATGAGGAAAAGACTATTTGTAAAATTGCAAAAAATTAGAAATTAAAAAAAAAAAAATTAAATACAAATCCTACTTGTCTATCCTCCTCCCCTCTCTCTACTCTCTACTTTCCTCTTCCTCTCTCCTCCTCTCCATCCTCCTCATGAGTATTTCACCATTTCTTGAACTCTGTAGACAAACGATTGATTTGAATGATTAATTACAAGCAACAAACAACTGTCTGTGGAACAAGTGAAAATATGCACCAAAAAAGTGAAAATTCATTTGCACCAAGTGAAAATTGTCTTTTTGGAGACAGTCTTATTTTAAGTATAATGAGATATTTTTGACTAGAAATAAGACATTTTGACAAGAATTCAAACAAATACTCTTGCCAAGATTTTGAGGTTTTGCAGTGTAACATGCAGTGTAACATTTTTATTTTCATTTGTCATTGCTGCAGGCCTAAAGTGATTCTTACATGTTCACTTTTTTAAACAAAAATGCAAACATTAGATACATAGATACAACAACACAACTCTTTTAGCTAGTTTAGCTCAGTTTATTTCATTCATTGATAAAAGAAAAGAACAATCCAATATAAACACAAACACAAATCTTGAATGAAAGGGAGCTTTCTTCCTCTGGTGGATCTTGCCAAACTTGGCTGATATCTGGAGAAAGACAAACCACTTTTAAATAGATATAATAGAGCAATAAAGAGAACACCAACAGCAATAGACTGATGAAATTAGATAATCTGATTAATAATGAAGGGGCAGCACAGTGGTGTGGTGGTTAGCACTCTCGCCTCACAGCAAGAGGGTTGCCGGTTTGATCCCGGGTGTGGGAGCCCTTCTGTGCGGAGTTTGCATGTTCTCCCCGTGTCAGCGTGGGTTCTCTCTGGGCACTCCGGCTTCCTCCCACAGTCCAAAGACATGCAGGTTAATTGATAACTCTAAATTGTCCGTAGGTGTGAATGTGAGCGTGAATGGTTGTTTGTCTCTATGTGTCAGCCCTGTGATAGTCTGGTGACCTGTCCAGGGTGAACCCTGCCTCTCACCCAGTGTCAGCTGGGATAGGCTCCAGCCCCCCCGCAACCCTCAAGAGGATGAAGCCTTTAGAAGATGAATGAATGAATGAATGATTAATAATAAACCATAAGACCAAACCTGTCTTCATGAACATACTGTAGTTACATTTTTTTCAAACAGGCAGATCTTCTGTCCCCATCACTAACCTGATGGTACAGTGAGTGTAGATGAAGAAGCACTTGGCTGCGGTC